GGCCCCAATGAAGCATCAATGCTGGTCCACTCGCAACAGGAACAGCCCTGTCGGTCACGGCGGGCTTTCGCAATGCTTTCTGAGGCCAACGAATGCAAAGCAGCGGCGATTTGGGTCTGTCGATTTCGACAGCGCCCTGTTAAAGCCACTGCGCGGCTCATTTAGGATTTTTACAACGAATTGTCAATCATATCCTGCCAGGAATCCATAAAAAGAGTAGGGATATGTTTCTGGTTGTAACCTTTTTTATGAGACACTAATTCTCTCGGACTTCAACACTTGTAAACAGGCTCAATTTCTTGTCAACTCAAGTGTCACCCTGAAGAAAACAACCTCGTCAGAATGTGTTTCACGTCCCGTTCCCTTTGCGCTGCTCTACCCCTCGCCGCGCTGTATTCCGCTGGGTTTTTGCGGTCCAGTTGGTGCGCAGCTGTCATTTCTTGGTTTTCGCCGCTGCTCGCGCTGCTCAGGGCACGTGACCCGCCGGCGTCCGCCGTTACCTTGGCAACGGACTCGGCCGGTGGGGGAGTGGGGGGGGGGGGGGTGAGACCGGATCGCCGGCGTTCGTCTGCTCCGTTCTCAGAGCGCTCGTGTCGCAATGCTACCCGAACTGCCGCCGTGTAATAGAATTGTCTGCCGGCCTCGGGCCGGTCCGGTGTCGTCTCCGGTACCGGTAATCGGATACCTACAGCGGCCGCAGCCGACAGCGGTGTCACGCTGCTCATCCCGATACAGTGTGGCTCAGTTGTACCATACGATCAACAAAATGGTCCAAACAGTGCTGCTGATTCAGCCGTTGGTGTGTATTTTGAGCTAAAAGAATGCTGCGCCTGCTTGCTTCCACCAACTGTTGTGAATAACCACCTCAGCTCCGGCTGTGGTGCCTGGACGCCAAGTGGGATAATCCCCTCCTCACCCTCCCCCCCCCCCCCCTCCCCGCCGGTGCCGACGGCGACTGTTTACCCAACTGGGGCCGGCGGCCGGCGGCGGCGGCGGTAGGACCGCGTGACCGGCCCCGACAGATACGCCCGATAAGGGAGGGCCGCCGAGACGCCCCACCATTGGCTGCCGCGCCGCGCCGCCCGCGGCCCAGCTGGGCGGACACCTATTCACCGCGGAATTTGTCAGTGAGAGGCGCACGTGATCATCAACTGCGATATAATGATGTCAAGATGACAACGGTATTCTGCTATACTTGATATGATCATTTCATAAACGCTTATTCCAGAAATTAACTTATTCCCTTGCATGGGTTGTCTCCAGTTAAATTACCAGTTCCCCATCTAACAGCTGCCGGCTGCGCCCAGTCTCTCGACGCTGAAGTGTCGCTTCACTAGGCACACCCACACTCTCCAATTTCCATTCCCCTATCTTATTTATTCTCTCCCTTTACAGCCTGCTGCTCGTCGCCAAATCAGTCGCTCCCTTTCAATCATCTCCGCCTCACGAGGCTTAGCGCGCGCAGTCGGTCGCCGGGACGGCCCGTTCCGCAGGAGCTCACGCTGTTTTCGGGACCCTAATCCTCTATCCATCACTGAGCATCAGCTTGATTTCGTCGCGGCACGGAACGGTCCGGAATTTCTCCCGTGTCCGATTAGCGAGTCGGGCGGCGGTCGGGTGTCCGTTTATCGAGTGAGTGCCGCGGCGGCCGGCGGCGGCTCGGCGGCGGCGGCGCGTCCTTGGTGGGCCGGCGAGGGCGGCGGCGGCGGCCGACGTCACTCCGTGTGAAATACGGCCTAATTGGCCCAGTGGGAGGGACGCGAGCACGGCCGATGGCAACGCTAATGGGCGATCGGCAGCGACACGGGCGCGAGGGAGCGGCGGCGGCAGCGGACACAGGTGACCGTCCGCGTGTCCGTCCGCGGCGGCGGCAGGACACAGGTGACCGCGGCGGCGGCAGCGGGCACAGGTGACCGTCCGCAGCAGGAGCGGACACAGGTGACCGTCCGCGGCGGCAGCGGACACAGGTGACCGCGGCGGCGGCGGCGGACTGTGACAGCGGTCACAACCCAGTGGATCACCGCTCGCGCACACTGGCTAAATGGCGAGAGAACGGCGACACAGCGGAGACAGACTCATCTCTGAAACGACGACTTATCGGCCTTTGATGAAGTACTTTCTAATGAGCTTCTTTAATTAAAAGTCGGCCAGTTAACCATGGGATTAGAGAAATGTCCCGGCAAATAATTCATTCATTGATTCATTTTGAAAGCAAGTCGACCTCGCGCTTACAACGACGTACCCTTGACAGTGGCATAATTTGTTTCATCATGATTAAATTTATTTAGCCATTTAAAAGCCTGCGCGGTAATAGCGAGTTGTCGGTAAAATCACTTGTTTATCATTCAACCCGCCACGAGCGATTAATGAGGTGTGTTTTAATCATCTCACTGCTACGGAACCTGTTATGAATGTTGCACAATCCCATTGCGGCCACCTGCAGCGGGCGGCCTTATTGAAACAGCTGGCCGTTATTATACCGGCGATAACTGATGCCGGCAGTTATTCTGTGGCCAAAGGAGACACAATGATAGGTTTACATGGCCGCCAATTCCGCCCCGCCGAAACAAATGGCCGTCTTGTTTTCCGAGACAAATTGATGAATCTGGAATGAATCAAAAAGGCAAGGAGGATGTGAGCTGAAGTAAGGAGGTATTCAATGGTCTGAATTTTGAATAACCCCGAACCGATGCTTCCCTAATTTACCTGCCCTGTTAGACTCTTGTTAGACAAGAAATCATTAAATGATGGCTTTCGCGCGCCTTTTGCACCTATTGTTTTACATGTTCTGTGGCCTCTGCAACAGTGAGAGGAATCAGATTAGCTCAGACACATGCACAGACTCACAAACAAGCACACTCGCAAACAAACAGGTACCGTTGAACGGCCGGCGGGCACACGGGTGTAGCACCTCGTGGCCTTGCATTGCTCGCCGTGCAGCTCCAAACCGGTCGTGCGGTACAGGCTGGGATACATACACGGCGGCGTGGAGCAGCGCTCGTTGGAAGTTCAGCGTTAGCTCAGGATTGGATCGATTTAGGAATGAATACTGGGCGGAGACACAGCCGGAGACAGACAACAGAGACGGAGATTTCAGCGTAAAGTGAGCTTAGCGGAAAAAATGCCAAATTTGGTACGTGGTTTCTCAACCTGCTCCTATCGCCAGCTCCAAAGCCGGTACGGCCTGATTCTTCTGAATTCGGCAGCTCGATAGATGATTTCTAGCTGGGCAGATGAAGGCTGATCTCGCCGGAGAAATGAGATACGATTTCATTACGGTGGTCGGAGCTGAATTGAGATCAAGTTACGTAGGAGAGCGCGATAAAAAGAGGCGGATGGTGCGATTTTCCTGTAGATCTTACATAACTCGCGGGGTCCGGCCCGTATGATATTCATATAGCGCCTGATTAATGCAACATCATGTCTAAGTTAGCATCATTTGAGCAAACTTATTCAAAGTTCCTCCATTGATGGATCGGTGAGAAAGTAACACTTCGTTGCACTAAAATGCGCCGCCTAATGGGACCACCTTCTCATTAATGTCAATAATTTGTTAACTGCCTCGGCACTAGTGTGACTCGTGAGGTATGTGGGTATGAAGTGATGATATGATATCATGCATTCTTCACCGACCAACGTGGCTACAGGACATAAAACGCCCGCTGATTCACAGCGATTGCCGCTCACGGACATTTTACATGCACTAACTTCAGAATAACGGCATCCGTAATTTAGCTGCGAGCATCAGCGGCTGTTTGACCGGATTAGCATAAAACGACGGCCTAACCTAACCGCATCCAGGTTACAAGCTAGACCGCAGACCTGCACCCAAGCGATCGCTGTGAATGCTTGTTGACCAGGTGGCCAAGAGACGCGCTTGCGGCTTTCATGGCGCACTGTGCGGTGCAGCGGCGCGGCGGCGATTGTGGCGCACTGTGAGGCGATTGTGACGCAGGTGGCGTGCGTCACGCGCCGCAAGGAAGAAGCTGTGAAGCGGAGCGGCCGACATAGAACGGGCCCGTTTTTATCCTGCCAGCCTCGGTCGACTCGGTGTGGCGGTGGCGGTGGCCGCGATGGAGCGGTGGCGATGGTGGTGGCCGCGATGGAGCGGTGGCGATGGTGGTGGCGGTGGCCGCGATGGAGCGGTGGCGGTGGAGCGGTGGTGACGGTGGTGCAGTCGCGTTGACGGTGGCAGCGGCGGTGCAAAGTTGGCCGATCATGATATCATCCCTGACACTGTCATGCACAAAGCACTTCCTTCACAGTGAACAATGTCTGTTTGGGGGATTGTAGATTTTTCTTGGCTGTACGACAGCGACTTAATCCTGCCATCCATGGCCAAATGACGACTTGAAGTTGTGGGAAGATTGCAGCGATACTGAGAAGCTTATTTGCGACCGCAGTCACAAATGGTGTCTACCTGCCTCACCACTTAGACTAAACATTATTTCTACACAGCACACATCACATATTAGCATAATCTTCAATAGTTTGATAGAAGCACGGCTAGTCCAAACTGCTCGTTCAAGAGCCATTTAACAATCGTAGTGAAAACCGGACATTGTAATCCGCACTTTTAGTTGCTTGCAGATCCGTGCACATTTTTCTCCGTCGACCGCTGTTCCGGGCCGCTGTGACACAGGGACTGTGCAGGCTTTCCCCGTGCTCCGGGTGTGTTGTGTGACTATCGGCACTGCTGTGTCGTCAGCGTGTGTGTTATCCAGGCGGTCCGAAGGCCGTGACTGATGACGTGTAACCCGTCACGCCGCGTGCGGTGGGAGTGGGTGAGCCGCTGTTGACACGATGAGCTGGTGGGTGACGGGCGGGGCCGCTCTGGGGCGGCGCGATGGGTGTTTGTTGAGTGGTGACGCAGAACCGCCGATTGTGTCTTGTCAACTAACTACATAGGCGTCTGTGGTTCTTAAGTACCCTTCCGTGGGCTGGTCCTCTGACTGACTCCCCGCTCCCCTTGTGTTGCAGCGTGGAGCTGACGATCTACGATGAAGGAGGGGGCGCCGGCCGAGCCTAGGTCCGTCCAGAGGTCCTCCGAGACGGGCTCCGGCGCCGCGCCCGCCGCCAGCCTCGCCAAACAGCAGTCACAGCAGCAGCAGCAGCAGCAGCAGCAGCAGCAGCAGTCGGCCACCAACTTCGAGTACGACGACGGAGAGTGGGACGTCGGCATCGGCGACCTCATCATCGACCTCGACGCCGACATTGAGAAGAACAACGACGCGGCGCGCTCGTCTACCTCGTCGGCCGATCCGAGGATGGGCGTCCGTCAGCAGCACAGCAGCTCCATGGAGAAGGGACTCAAGATGAAGATCAAACGCACCTCCAAGCCGGGACGCTCCTCGGAGGCCAAACACGAGATAGTGCAGGTGGATAATAAGGCGGGCGCTGCCGCCGCCGCTGCCGCTGCTGCCGCGGGGGCGGGAGCGGCGGCGGCGGCGGGCGCGGCGGCTCCCTCGGGGGTCGCCGCCGGTGACGCCGCCGATTCCCAGTCGGCCAAGGCAGCGGCCAAGGCGGCCGGGAAGCGTGCTGTGCACAAGAAGGAACGCCGGGATAAGGAGCCGGCCGGCGCGGTCAAGACGGAACGCCGCGAGAACGGCGTCGGCGCCGGCGACGAGGACGGCGCGGCGGCCGGCGGACCCGACTCGCCGGGCGCGGCGCCGTCACCGCCGGCCAAACGCCCCAAGACGGATGCTCCCACTCAGGTATGTGAACTGCGCGCGCAGCCGGCCGCGCGGCCCCGCTTTTTGTGTGCCCGCTGTGCTTTGTATGCAGGCGTGAGCTGAGCCGGTTCGGTGGGTCTGAGCGCGACTCACCGACTCACTGAGCCGACTGAGCCGCGCTCAGTACCACATCAGCAGACGCCCGCCGGCGCGCGGCGCCGACAGCTGGGCTCTAACTTTGTTCTGATTGTTGTGTTAGTGGTGCCGTTATTGGCGTAGGCCGTGCTGTTTCCGGTGCCTGGTTGTGCCTGTAATTGGTAATAATCAGGGCTGTCTCATCCCTATCTCCGTAACGTGTCGTGTGCGACCAATGACGTCACGGCATTGCGGCGTTCTGATTGGGCGGCAGCTCTGAATCGCCCGACTGGTGGTCCCCGCTCGACAAGCGCACGTGCGCCGACTAGACATTTGTAGTGGCATTGACGGCAGAAAAAGTGAGGTAATGCAGAGCTCTGAATATACTTGAATAGAGTCTAAGCCGTTAGTAATACGTAAAAACGTCAGATAGGTTTCTTGTTCGACTTGATTTGAGCTTTTATGTGATATAACTTTTACCTTAGTGTCGAGGTTGGCAGCTATGTGGGAGAGCCCTAAAGTTGGGTCATTTTCCATAGGATTGCATTACAGCCGTCCGACCCTTCGTACCTGTGACGTCACGGAAATCGCTGCTTCGGCCTAATGAGCATACCTTCTATATAGGGCCTTGGTAATAATAGAGCGGTCAGGTTTGTTCCATTTGCTCGCATGCCGGCCGACCGGTTCGAGTCAGCGGTCGCCATGCCAACCGACACCCGAGATCTGATACGGCTGTCGACGTCTATTTGTGGAGCGCGCCCGCCCCGCGGGGAAGCACTGCCTTTGACAGCGGGCCCGCACTTTGATCGGTGGTGGGGCGCTGCAAATAGATATACTGGACGGCGCCGCATTGATTCCACTCAGGCCACTATTTGTCACGACACGACATGTTTGCTGCACGTCGTGTGCTGGATCATGGATGGTACACTTCCGATCGTTTTTCAACTCTGCACTGGGTTGGACCGTTTGTCTGTTTCAATATGTTGCCATTTCCTTTTTCCGTGTTGTGTAAGAACTCGAAATGAGTTGTCTTTAGCCGAGCCGAAGCTAAGCTATGCTCATTCGCCGGGAAACGCCGCAGAATATTACCCGGCGTCGGTAACGTCGGTGTCGACAGCGCGGCGAATATGACGCATCGGCCCCGTCGACCGAGCGGAGAGCGCCATTTGTTAGCCTTGACCTCGGCTGAGGAGGGGTTGGAGAGGGCAGAATGTCTGGTAACCACTCTGAGCCGTTCCCGGCGGCTGGTTTTCCAGCGTGACGGACGGATCAGCGTCCGTCGGGCCGGGTGTCTGTTGTAATGGCCGCGACTTGGCCAGCAGCGGCGCCCGGTTCCGGCGCCGCTGTTGATTCTGGGACGGAATTCGGTCGGTGGATGTCAGGGGTGGCGCGCGGCTGGTATTCCTCCGTCACGCGGATGGCCAGCTATTTGTGAAGATGGTCATCAGTTAGAGCGGCGTCGGCTGCTAAAAACAAACACACTCGTCTGGCGGCTGGCAGAGAGCCGCCCGTGTCTGCTGACGGCCGGTCTGGCGGGCCGGGTCGGGCCGAGTCGGGTCGGCGCGCCATCACGGGTCGTTTGTTGTACCGGCCCGTGCCCCGCCCTGAGTGTCTTGGTGACGGGCCCTGGCCGCCGGCCGCCCGCTGGGAGGGTAGCTGGCACCGGCCGAGTTGTGTAATGCCTGTTTACGGCCTGGTTTACAAACCCGCTGACGGCGGGCGGGGGCGGCGTGTCGGACAGCTGGCGGCCGCCGCCCACCCGCGCCGCCCGCGACCTCTGGCGACCTGCCAGTGACCCCTGCTGACCCCTGCTGACCCCGGGCGACCCGGCGCCGTGAAGAGACGGGTATGGAGCGCAGTCACTCGGTCAATAGTGGAACTTGGGACCGTTTGCGGAGAATTAGTTCGCCGGGTTTAACGGGCCTCTAACCGGTGACCGGCTGCCTTATTTGAATGTATTAGCAAAAATACAGCTTTTGCGAAAAGGTTACCTTTATTATTGTCAAGTTGCAACCTTCCTTGCCTATTTTACCGGGAGTTAAATCTCTTCGCAGTAAATAAGAACCTACTGTTTTGGCATAATACCTATTAAAATTGAAATTTAAACGTTGAACGTCCTAACCTCTTACCTACTCATTGTTTATTTTGCATTATGTTGTGCATTCCTTGTCGGATTAAATGAAAAAAATGTGCTGTCTAATCAGTTTCACTCCACCGCGTTGTCAGATACGCCTTCCGTGATAGTAAAGCACAGCTTGTCGCTTTCGTTGTGTAATTAGTACAACAGATGGATGAACACGATGGTATCGGTTTCAGGCAAGTGAAAAAAATCCACCGCTGTTGTCATGTGGGAATTAACTGGTCGTCGGACGGCCACTCGTGGGCCGCCTACCTGACACCTGTCACTTTGTGACGTCATCGGATCGCTATCAGCTGACGGCGGCAGCTGGCCGCGTGTCGGCTGTGTCAGCTGTGTCAGCTGACACGGGGCCGAACGGGCCGGCACCGCCCACCAGCGGGCATTGGCCGCTACCGTGATCCAATCAGCATTGTGTTGAGAAAAGGCATGAATAATTTCGAGAAATTAGCTGTGCCGATACGCTCAACAGCTCAAAGATGTAAATTTTGAACATAGGAAATGTAAATATCCGTAAATGTATCACTATCATGACAAATTCAGCACTTGTTAGTTTTCTGATGTTCATTCGAGTTACCTGAGTGGCACACTGGCCTTCATTCCCTACATCCTCAGAGCATTTTCCTTGCTGCATCATTTATGGAATTGCATAGGTACTCGAGATTACATAATGGGTCATAAATAATGGAGGCACATGCCCGCTTTGTTCAGCGGGTTTGGTTTAACTGGGGTCACTGGGTCCGCTGGCCGACTGGCTGGCCGCTGTCTGTTGAAGCAGCCCACTGTTGAAAATGTGAAACTGCTCCTGAATTATCTCCAGCTACCACTGGAAAGCACTCATGACAAATAACCACGATCAGATGTCTTTAGTTGTAGCGAGTCCACCTCCTCCTCATTAGTTGCATTTCCTGTCAGCTGGTTTTATAATTATACGTACCACAATGCCTCAAATCATGATTTACCATAATCTAAGATGATGATTAGCATTCATGAGTAATTTTTATCCAATGGTCGGACCATTTCTTTTATTATTCTGGGCTTCCTCGGCTTTATGACTGATCTCGGCTGTCACCCGCCTCTGTCTCTGTCTCTGTCTCTACCGCCGTCCGCTGCTGATAGGCTCTGAGCACTCACTGTCACCACCTACCCTCCATGGCGCGGAGATAGTGCGCCGTTTTTGTGCTCGTTGGCTGTCAGCGCGCCAGAGGTGGCGCGCCGCGCCGGCAGTCAGCTGACGGAGCGGCGCGCTGAGGGGGGAGGGGGGGGGGGCTGGCAGCGCCCGCCCCGTCCCGGCCCGCCCCCGCCGGGCCGACTGCCGACATCTCATCCCACACGTGAAGCCGGCGCTCGCGGCGACGCCATTTCATTATCTGGGCGGGCCGATAGCGCTGCCTTCGGCTTAATTTGGAGCGCGGCTCGGCGGAAAGCTTTACGCCCAAATAATCGTGCCGAATCTGCCATCCTCTCTTCAAATAGGCTTCGAGTCTTTTTATGTTTCTTTTTTTTTTAATGCGTTATTTTTGCTCTGCACATATTTTATGACATACATACCTACATATCTCGCTCCTTCTCTTTCTCGCTGCCTATTTCTCGTTCTTCATCTTTGTCCCATATCTTTCCTCCCACCTCTAGCTTCCTCCCCCGTTTCCCTCCCGCTCCTGCACCCTGTCTCCCCTGCTCGCTCCTCCGTCCCGCCTGGTTTAGGTACCGCGTCACCCGGTGGGTGGCCGGCCGGTGTCGTGACCTTTTGACCGACGCCAGCCGCCGACCGCATTATTACCTGTGCTGCGACCCGCCGACCGACGCCGTCGCTAGTTCCCACATCATTCACAGCTTCCCAGAAAATACGGCGATGATAATACGGTAGCATCAAGACGTTGTGTGTGGTTTACCGAGTGCCACTGGTGGCAGACTTATTAAAATTATTAATGGAGGTGGAATTGTGCAGTCATGGTCTCACCACTAATTTGTTCAACCGTTTGTTGGCACTGGCATGCCGCCATTTATGAGACCGACATTATCATTCCTCTGACTCTGACATTCCTTTGTCATATCCACGCGAGCGCTTTCCTACCGGTCAGCATTCGCACGGCAGTTTTTTGTGGCACTGCTTTCACCGCGCGACGAGCCGGCGCGGTCGGCCGTTCCGTACAAATGCCGGCGATGACGGCCGTCTGGCCTGCCAGCCCGGCGCGTGCCTCCCCTCCCCTGCCCTGCCCGCCGAGCGCCGCCCCTCCCCCTCCCCAGCGGCGGCGGTCGGTGGGCCTTTGTCGTCAGCTGGTGGGTGTCGGCTTCCTTTGTTGGAGCGCCACTCTCGCTCGAGTCGGAAGTCGACGGCTGTCGTTCCGGTGACGTGAATGTGGAGAGGTGTCGGAGGCGTGAATCCACTAGAGCACGATTACGAGAGCATTATGTCGTCTTGAAATGGTAATCAATAACCGAAGGCGATTTATATTCATACTTCTCAGAAGTGTAACTTGCAGCTATCCAAACAATCGATTGGGTCGTTGCCTCCTGTTTTTGCGCGCCGCTCCGAGAAGCCTGCTGCTGGTCCCTGCGCGATCAAAACATTTCGAACATGCTTCTGGTCGGGCTCTGCTGTCGCAGGAGGCTCATATAAACCTGACAATTCCGAGGAACGCTATTGCGTTGCTCGCCTTATCCT